CTGGGAGGGACTGGGGGAGAGGGGGAATGGACTGGGAGGGACTGGGGGGGACTGGTCTGGACCGGGAATGGACTGGGAATGCATTGGGAACCGACTGGGAGGGACTGGGAGGGACTGGGGGGGACTGGGACGGACTGGTCTGTACTGGTCCATACTGATCTGGACTGCGCTGGTCTGGACTATTCTGTACTGGTCTGTACTGGTCAGTACTGGTCTGTATTATTCTGTATTGGTCTGTACTGGTCTGTACTGGTCTGTACTGGTCTGGACTAGTCTATACTGGTCTGGACTGGTCTGGACTGGTCTAGACTGGTCTGTATTATTCTGTACTGGTCTGGACTGGTCTGGAGTGGTCCATACTGGTCTAGACTGGACTGTATTATTCTGTACCGGTCAGTACTGGTCTGTATTATTCTGTACTGGTCCATACTGGTCTGTATTATTCTGTACTGGTCTGTACTGGTCTGGACTATTCTGTACTGGTCTGTACTGGTCAGTACTGGTCTGTATTATTCTGTACTGCTCTGTACTGGTCTGTACTGGTCTGTACTGGTCCGTACTGGTCTGTACTGGTCTGTATTATTCTGTACTGGTCTGTACTGGTCAATACTGGTCTGTACTGGTCCATACTGGTCTGTACTGGTCTGTATTATTCTGTACTGGTCTGTACTGGTCAGTACTGGTCTGTACTGGTCCATACTGGTCTGTACTGGTCCATACTGGTCTGTACTGGTCTGTACTGGTCTGTACTGGTCCATACTGGTCTGTACTGGGAGCCCCAGTGCACCAACCAGCCGCAGTTCCCGGCCGGGGCCGTGCAGGATCCGGGGGGATTTGGGGATTCCTCCCCTTTCCCAGCCCTGGGAAGAGCCCCCGGCATTCCCAAAATTCCCAACATTCCCGACATTCCCGACACTCCTGACGCTCCCAACATTCCTGACACTCCCAACATTCCTGACATTCCCGACATTCCTGACATTCCCAACATTCCCGGCATTCCTGACACTCCCGACATTCCTGATATTCCTGGCATTCCCAACATTCCCGACATTCCTGATATTCCTGGCATTCCCAACATTCCCGACATTCCTGATATTCCTGGCATTCCCAACATTCCCGACATTCCTGACATTCCTGGCATTCCCAACATTCCCGACATTCCCGACATTCCTGATATTCCTGGCATTCCCAACATTCCCGACATTCCTGATATTCCTGGCATTCCCAACATTCCCGACATTCCTGATATTCCTGGCATTCCCAACATTCCCGACATTCCTGATATTCCTGGCATTCCCAACATTCCCGACATTCCTGATATTCCTGGCATTCCCAACATTCCCGACATTCCCAACATTCCTGACACTCCCAACATTCCCGACATTCCCAACATTCCTGATATTCCTGACACTCCTGACATTCCCAACATTCCTGACATTCCCGACATTCCCGACACTCCTGACATTCCCGACACTCCCGACACTCCCGGCACTCCCCGGCAGCGGGAATTCCCGGAATTCCAGGGAATCGGGCGATGACCGAGCGCTCTCAGGGGAGTTGGGAGAAGCCAGGGGGGAAAAGGAGCGGGATGAGCTCCGGGATCCCGATCCAGCAATCCTGCAGGGATCCCCTGATCCCGCTGGGATCCAGCAATCCTGCAGGGATCCCCTGATCCTGCAGGGATCCCCTGATCCTGCAGGGATCCCCTGATCCTGCAGGGATCCCCTGATCCTGCTGGGATCCCCTGATCCTGCAGGGATCCCCTGATCCCGCTGGGATCCCCTGATCCTGCAGGGATCCCCTGATCCCGCCGGGATCCCCTGATCCTGCTGGGATCCAGCAATCCTGCAGGGATCCCCTGATCCTGCTGGGATCCCCTGATCCCGCTGGGATCCCCTGATCCCTGGGATCCCCTCTTCCCTGGGATCCTATTCCCTGGAATTCTATTTTCCCTGGGATTCTCTTTTCCCCGGAATTCCCTTTTCCCCTGGAATTCCCATTTCCCTGAAATTCCCATTTTCCCCGGAATTCCCATTCCCCGGAATTCCCATTTTCCTGGAATTCCCATTTTCCCAGGAATTCCCATTCCCCGGAATTCCCATTTCCCCGGAATTCCCATTTCCCGGAATTCCCATTTCCCTGAAATTCCCTTTCCCCTGGAATTCCCTTTTCCCCCGGAATTCCCATTTCCCAGAATTCCCATTTCCCCGGAATTCCCATTTCCCGGAATTCCCATTTCCCTGAAATTCCCTTTCCCCTGGAATTCCCTTTTCCCCCGGAATTCCCATTTCCCAGAATTCCCATTTCCCCGGAATTCCCATTTCCCCGGAATTCCCATTCCCAGGAATTCCCATTTCCCCTGGAATTCCCTTTTCCCCGGAATTCCCTTTTCCCCCGGAATTCCCATTTCCCAGGAATTCCCATTTTCCCCGGAATTCCCATTTCCCTGCAATTCCCTTTTCCCCTGGAATTCCCATTTCCCGGAATTCCCA